GTGGCGACTCTGAAATAATTAAACGAATCCCGTTTCGATTGTCCTTTAATTGGAAAAAAACTCACTTGCGCCCCCCGGGTGCGGAAAAAGGAGGTGTGACACAATTAATTCTGATTTGCAAACTTTAGTACTAACCTTGCAGAAACAGCTCAAGGAGCAAAGTGAACGCATAAAGCAGATACCTGGGGTGCCACCTATAATCAAGGCGGTAGATATGGATAGATATTCACAACAACCCTGGAAGCCAAGTGCTGCTCCACTCCCAATTCCAAAAAAGTTCAAAATGCCTGATATTCCAAAGTATGATGGAACAACAGACCTACGAGACCACGTGACTGCCTTCACAACGGGTGTAAAGGGCAACGATTTGACTAAGCAGGAGATTGAATCGGTACTAGTCAAGAAATTTGGTGAAACACTCACCAAAGGAGCACTAACATGGTATTCTCTTCTACCTGAAAATTCTATATATTCTTTTGCTGAGCTTGCATATTCCTTAATCAAAGCACACTCGGGAGCTTAAAAAGTGGACAAAAGAATGGAGGATATTTTCAAAATCAAGCAGGGAGATTCAGAATTGCTTAGAGAATTCGTGGACAGATTTCAACGTGAAAGAATGACATTGCCGCGTGTACCTGACAACTGGGCAGTTATAGCCTTTATAAGCAATTTGAATGAAAAAAGTTCGGAAGCTACGAGGAGGCTCAAGGAAAGCCTTCGTGAATTCCCAGCTACAATGTGGAATGATGTTTACAATAGGTATATCACGAAGTTGAGGATTGAGGAAGATACTGCCACGATCTCAAAAAGAAGAAAATATACGTCCGAGACGGGCCGAGACCGACAAAAGGTCCGGTAAAAACAGGTACGAGCCTTATATGGGACCTGCGGGAATAGACTCATGATCAAAACAGTACCACCAAAGGCACGATCACAGACCAAGGAACAGAGAAGCAGGTTCTTCATCGAGATTTAGGAACGAGCGAAACCATTATGAGTCACGGGATGATGATAGAAGTTTAAAAGCGAGATTTGGATGTTACAACTTTAACGTCAGCACTTCTGAGCTCGTAGCCGTTTTGAGAAGTATGGGAGATAAGGTTCAATGTCCAAAGGAAATGAGATCGAATCCAAACAGGTGCAACTCCGACCATCAGTGCGAGTTCCATAATGACCACGGGCATAAAACTGCAGACTGCAGATTTTTACAAAGTGAAGTTGATTATTTATTAAAACAAGGATATCTCACCGAGTTATTCAGTGAGAAAGGCAAGCAAACTTATATGAAGAACAAATAGGAACCTCCAAAACCCCCTTCTCCCAAAAGAACTGTTAACGTTATAAGTGGGGGAGAAGACATCAATGGTGTATCCTATACTACAGCCAACAAAGTTTCCAAAGTGACTATTACCCAAGGGAAACGGGTGCGACAGGTTCTAGAAGAAGACAATATTACATTCAATGATGCAGATGCTGACATTCTAACATTCTAACTGACGATGAATTCTAACATTCTAAATCTGGTGTGCAGCTGGGAATTCGTGGGAAGCAAAGATAATGAAGGAGAAGTCCAAAAAATATCATATGTGACGGAGAGTGGCCACATCAAATACTCGAGCCCCAGGACAATTTTACTAAAAGTTAGATTTATCAACTAGTAAAAAGAGAAAATTGTCCAGAACCTCGAGTGCTTGATCTGGCCACTCTTCTTCACATATGAAGTATTTAGACTTTTCCTTCATTATCTTTGCTTCCCGTGAACTCCCTGCTACACCCAATAAGCATGTCTCTGCAAAAATTTTCTTGTTTTTCTTTGAATATAAATTTAAAGAAATATGATAGTAGTCTATGGATGAGAATGAAAATTTTCAAGTGAAGAGATCATTAATATAGTCGAAAGAGTGCACCTAATCAATTTAATATCTATAAATGCTGAAGATATTGTTAACTGTTTTTTGTTCAGAGAAATTGAATGTAACAAGATAAGTAGTTGGCAAAACAAGTAAGAGGTAAATGCAATAAAAAAATAGTAAAAAATAAGGCCACAAAAAGTAGGTGATAAATGACAAAAAGTAGCTAGAAAATGCAAAAAATGTTGGAAGTTTTTAGTGTATTTCTATAAACTTCAGCCCTTGATAAAGCTGAAGTTTTTGTATTGGATTCAATAGTTTTTGTCGTACAGCTTTTTCAAAACACTTCAGCACATTCTGCTGAAGTTATTTAGTGTATTTCTAAAAACTTCAGCTCTTGATAAGCTGAAGTTTTTTTGTTGGATTCAATATTTTTTTCGTACAGCTTTTTCAAAAAAACTTCAGCTTAAAAAGCATAAGTCATTTACTTCATGCTTAAGTTTTTTCAACAAAAATGTACTTAAAATTCATAATAAAAGAGAGAAACATATTTGTATGAACAAAAGTGAAATAAAAAAAATACTTAATGTATATTCACAAAATACAAATTATGTGCAACCAATCCTCTAATCAAAAAATTCACACACTGTCTCTTCGAAATCTCCATAATCATGTCCTTGTTGTTCTTCTGGAGTTTCATAGCCGCTTTCTTTTTTCACTTTCCATGAGCCCAAAGATTGGCAGCCAATTCTCTCCTGAAGGTCAATGACTGACTTTGATTGAAATTGAAGACATTTTCTTTATTCAACTGCATATCAATTAACTTAAGAGCAAATACACCACAATCAACACTACAAAAAGAACATGAAAAATATTTAACACATGGGCAAAATATAATAAACATAAGATGCATGGTAAAACATATGCAAAATACGTACTTGTTAGTCTGCTGTGGTGAGCTCATCCACTTAATTTGAAATTTTTTCACAGGACTATCCCCATAAAATTTATTGTGTGCCCCAAATTCCAAGCATTTGAGACAGTGTGGGATCAATCGGTTATAATTTCTGACATGTTCAACAACACGCTCATATGTTACACTGCCCATGGAATCATACACATATATAAATTTATCTTTAAAGTCCAGAATTCCAAAAAAGTAGGGCGTGGATCTCTGGCCCGTCATTGGCTTAAGTCGAAATGGAAAGAATACTTTTCTGGCAGATGCCCATGAGATACCACAGGAAAGGTCGAGGCCTTTTACGTAGTTGGCCACCTTTTCATTCGTTGATTCTTTCTCAAACCAACTAAAGTCCGTAAGTGGCCGAATAACCGCTTCTTCTTCTTCTTCTTCTTCTTCTTCTTCTTCTTCTTCTTCTTCTTCTTCTTCTTCTTCTTCTTCTTCTTCTTCTTCTTCTTCTTCTTGAGCCTGTTGTTTGGATATCCTCTTTCTCTTTGATTTGCTCTCTTTTTGATCCTCCATTCTCTTTTGCTTCCTTTTTCTAATTTTATCCATCTGTTCTTTTGAAGGATGAATACCAGCCAGCTTAGTCATATACTGATCAAAAATTAAATCAGTTACTGCAAATATTGATTTTGGATAAGCTGGAAGGTGATAGCAATATTTTTTGCGCAAGTAATATATGCCCACATCCATATGCTGCAAATGAACAACAACAAATGATAACATGTCAAAAAATTACAAACAGCTTGACAAAAACTTAAGCATATTCAGTTTGAAGTGTTAGAAAATAATCTAAAAAACTTCAGCATGTTTGATTTAAAAGTTTTGAAAAAAACTCGAGAATGCATGTCAAAAACGTCAGCACGATTAGGCTTAAGTGTTAGCAAATAAGCTAAAATCTTCAGCGTTTTAGTATCAATAAAGCTAAAGTTTTCCAAATTACAGTACAAAAACTTCACTATAAAAAATAAGCTAAAGTTTTGGGAAATACATTTGAAAACCAATTCAAAAAACAAACTTAATAACTTACTTCATCCGCAAGATCAGAGTTAGGATCCATAAGCTCGGTAAAGAATGATTTTTGAATATCAATTCCAGCTAATCTGAATGGATTGGAATCATATTCACTGGCATCCATCTCCAACCACTCTGTAAATCTTTGCATCAATCCACTGTCTTGATTAACATAATGGAAGGGACACCTTCGTATATTCTTTCCTACTTTCCAATCTTGCCCCCTTTCCTTTAGTTTATGAACTACGTAAGGAGATCTCAACCAAATACTCTCCATACGAATCCTTTTCCCTTTTTTCTGGTTTTCCTTTTGCTTGCTCTTCCTGCTGCTCCATCACAACTAACTGTTGTTGTTCACCAGTAGGGGGAGAAACCACAGCCATAGTGGCAGATACTTGACCAACTCCCTGCTGTTCACGACGTTCTTGTCTCTCTTCACGAACAACAACAACATCAGAATTACCTTCTGAATCAGTCCCTTGTGTACTACCAAGTGAAAATGAACATAAATTGAAGTTGAGGATATCACTGGTGTCATACATAGGAGAACTGGAAATCTTCCTTCTCTTAGGATTTGGAAGAAGTTGCGATGCATCAGATGATATCTGCAAAAGCAAGGAAAATAAAAACATAAATAAAACTGATACAAAACACACATTAGGCAAAAAAACAACTTGTAATCGAATTGCAGAAAATAACTACCTGGTCTAAGTGTTGAGACACAGATGGTGTTTGCATTCCAACAGATCCATTTCCTTTACCTTCAGATATGCCTGTATCTTCATGCGAAAAAAATAAAAAAAATATAAATAATACTGACTAAATTTTGTAAAATAATACCAACACACTTCACACCTGTCTGTGAGCCAACAGGTGTGAATAAATGTATTTATCTTTTTTGATATAGCTGCATAAGCTCACCAAATTCTTTTTGAGCTGCCTCGAGTCTTTCTGAAAAATCATTCAAAAATACAACAAATAAAATAAAATATGTAAAGATTCAAACTGTAAAAAATATACTTCGATCAAATGTAATAAATTCATAATCTATAGAATACCTTGATGTTTGTCTTGCGCTGTGGTTTCCCTAGGTTGCATGCCTTTCTCGATATCAGCAATTGCAGCTTCATTCAATTGTGCACCAACGTCGAGGAACATTGGAGTATTATCTGGAAGGTTTTTCTCAACTCTACCTTCATTTAATTTAGCAGCATCAGAGACTTTTTGAGTTGTGTTAAATTGAAGCACAACTAGTTTCAACTTCCACTGCATATTCATAAAGAGGGGGAATAGATCAACTAGTTTTTCTATATATATAACATAGTAAAAATTTATACCTGTACTGAATATTTCACTACAGGACATTATCAAAAAGATCAGTTAAAACTTCAATCTCTAAGAAGGCTGAAGTTTGACAGTTACAAAAACAAAAACTTCAGCTCTAGAGCTGAAGTTCGACAGCTACAAAAAAAATCTTCAGCTGAAGTTTTGTTTCATGTTTTGTGTTTTTTTGTTATATATTTTTATGAACTATTATAAACTTCACACTTTATACCTGTAGTAACAATTTCCTGCGTATCACCACCTAAAATTTCCTTGCAAATAGCTAGTGCTTCATCAAACAAATTGACCTGTCCAATATCGCTTTCCAAAGAACAACTAGATGCATGTTTTTCAGTACCAACAACTTGATCATCTGCACCTTGTTGTTGAACATGTTCATCGCATTCACCAGCCGCTTCCTTACGTGTAGCATTATCATCTGCGACTTTATGCGATGGATCATGAGCAGCATGTTCTTCAACTTGATTATCACCATTTGAAGGAACTGCATTAACTACCTTTGAACGAATTAAAGGCATTGAATTCAATTCCTCTTCTGTAGGAATTATATCCAATACCCTAAAGTCGCGATATCTCTGTTTAATACAAAAAAGCATATTATGAGGAGAAAAAAACTAATACATCAACATATTAACACAAAGACAAAAAAAAAGTAACTTACTTCATGAGTACTGAACATATAATAAAGTTCGGCAAATTTAGGCTCTCCCACACATACATAACGTAACATCCTGGGAACCTGAGGAGTATCAAGGTGCTCATCCTCTCTTATATACCTCTCCCGAACATCTGGGAAGCGCTCATAGAACCAAGCACATAATGGATATGGAAATCCACCAAGTTTATACTCAGTTGTATGTAATTTGTTCTGCTTGTCCAATGCATGTTTCAGTGAATAAATGAGCTTCTCATAAGCCACATTACCCCAAGGATATTCAGCACAAACCTTATCATCTTCAACAATAGATGCATACTCCTCCATCACACATGACTCGGTATTTTTCCCAAACAAAATAGACTCTACAACATGAATTTCCATAAGCTTAACAGCATTATCATCACTCTCGCATACATGTACGTGATTCATAGCATTCTTTGGAATTTCATTGTGAGTCATAAAACTTCGAATATCCTTCAAAGTCACACCCTTGGACTTACCAAAATACCACTTCAGAATATTGCTCTCTCGATTAATTGGTTTTTCAACATTATGTGATGTGATCCGCAAACCACACATAATGTGAAAGTCTTCAAGGGTGAAGGAAACATCATGACCAAAAATCTTGAAACTAATGGAGTCTCGATCATTGGTGAATATTCGAGAAAGACACAGACAATGAACCAACTTCATGCTGCATTGGAAATTCTCCATAGCCATAATGTATTTAAATGTACCATTAGTAAGCTTATCCCGTTGTGTAGGAGTCAAGAAAGTTGCAATTAATTTCTTCAAATCATGGTTCCCCTTCCAGTAACCCTTACAGTTAAACCAATCTCCAAACTCAAAATATCTTTGCCCTGGTCTTTAGGTGGAGGAGCAGGAACATAAGGACCTGGGGGTATTATAGGTTGTCTAGGTGNGAGCTGAAGTTCGACAGTTATAGAACAAAAACTTCAGCTCTAGAGCTGAAGTTCACCAGTAACAAACACAAAAACTTCAGCTCCTTAAGCTAGACTTCACCAGTTACAAACACAAAACATTCAGCAAAAAAACATGTTGTAGTTTTGACAAAAAACAAAACACAAATTCTATTAATCTAAGGTATCATTGAACTATTATAAAACAAATAATACTTCAGCTCTTAAATAGTATCATATATTTAACTCTCAAGATTTTTAAATACTCGTTCAAAAAACATAAATATAGAATTTTCATCAACAACATAAACACTCGTTCAAAAAACCTAAAAACACAATCGTAAAAGTAAAACTAATGCATGACTATCAAAACCAACACCAGAAATTAAATCGTAAAATAAAACCGAGGAAGTTAATTCAATGTACCTGTGATTAAATCGTAATGTGGGAACAACAACGACTAGCAGTTGAAAAATCAAAACAACAACGAAAACCATTTGATTTCAGAGAAGAACAAATCAAAAAACGCGAATAACAGGAGTGAGAGACAGAGACAGTAGAGGACTACCGTATACTTGGAGAGAAAGTAATCTTTTAATAAAGAAGGGCAAAATAGTCTTTTCAAATGGCTTTTAACAAAAAAACGGGTACGGGTGCAAAGAGAAAGACAAAGCGGCTACAGGTTAAAACGGGACGTCCAAATAGGGCGCCCCGTGCAATTTTTACAAATTATTATTACGTTCCATATAGACTTAAAGCAGTCACTCCATATAGGAAACACATCAAATAATTTATTTGTCCTAATTCTAATGCCTTATTATTTAATATGAATGTTAAATTCATTATCTACATTAAAACTAAAATTTGATGTTATTATCCTTCTAACAAGTTTTTTGGTAATTATATTTGAAATTTATTAAGATATTTATATATGTTGTCAGCTAAAGTTACTCGCTTTTTCAATCAAACCACAAGAACATCCTAGAGCCTAGATTACTTGATTATTCGAAGATTAGTAGAATAGTTTAGCTAATTGATATTTTGTTTTTCTTTTCTTTCTTTTTTCTTCATTATTTCTTGTTTTTTAAATGATTTTCCCCATGTTTTGGCTTCTTTCTTCAGTGGCATATTTCACTTAAAAGTTTTGAAGTAATTTTTTTTGTTATTATTTATCAAAAATTCATGTACAAAATAGTTATTAATTCATCGTGATTAGTGACTAAGCTACCCGATTAAAAAAGTTTATTATGCCACTTTTTTATTTGGTCTATTTTAACTCATTTTTTTTGGTTACTATCTGAGTTTAAGGATAGATAAAGTATTAGACGATAGGGCGCGTAATGAATATTAGATTTGAAATATGATTGTCGTGCTATATTTATACAATTATAAATTATATAATTCAATTCTTTTGTCAAATTGACAGATGAAAGGAGTCATAATCTTCAATTAAGCAAAGGGTTCTTGTACGTGCAACAATAATATCAATAAAACTTTTTTGATATTAGTAATTATTAAATATCTCTATTACAAATGACTAAAATAAATTTAGCAGTTTTATACCATGAAATGAACTATTATTTACTAGCCACCCGAAGGAAGACCTATGTTGATCGAATTTCTATATAACTTCTACAAGTTACAACTTTCATCCGACAACAACTTCTTGATATGTATGCGACTGTAAAAGTAAGAAGGCTTCAATTTCTTAAAGACAAAGCAAGAACTTCTAGACATGAAGTATCCACAACTATAGCCGATGTTGCTCATATTTAAATGTAAACTACATGTTGTCCGAATATAAAGAGGCAAGGAAAATATCAAATTGAATATTTGGTATGACAATCGTATTTATATAACTAATATTTATTGTTTAAATAATATTTAATCATGTTATATTCAATAATTTATTTATTAAGGCAGAGCTTCTATTTCCTTATCGTACATATATTTTAATATTATTTATATTCTTTTAAAATATTTGTACATATTACTATGGGATACACGTGCGCACGTGTCCAAAGACTAGTATAATCTAAATAAGTAGTCTGAACAAAACGATCCATAAGTTTCCATCGCGTCCAAGATATGTACAGGCGAGTTTAGTTTAAACTAGTGATATCACTTTTTCCACTATTCTTTGGTAACGATAGATATGAACATATAAATTGAAGCCAAAAGTAGTGGCTGCACCCGCATGTTCTGTCACAGAGCTACATCCACACGTAAGTATCTCTAACCTAATCCATGGAACACCATAAGGATACAGAGCAATTTTACCTTAAGAGTATCAGAATCCAAAAAGATTTTCCTATCTACACTAAGGAGTTGGGAAAGAACGGGGGAGGTAAAAAGTTTGCAGTATAGAGCTGCCATGTCTTGTCTATTCCTCCAAATACCATTTACCTTCCCACAGCCAACCAGCAAAACGACGAATTCAACCGCAAATATTCTTTAGATAGCACATGCTAAAAAGACAGAGAACCCACTACCAATAAGGGTTTCTGCAAAAATGACACCCATGCATAGGTATGTTAGTTGTCACTGCTAATAGAACGATCATGATCTGCAGAATACACCACCACCCTGAAAAGGGTTTAGACAAAAAATGCACACATAGGTATTTTAGCTATCAATGCTTCCAAGTATATTGTTATTTTATGGCAAAATACATAAGTTGTCACCTGACCTATGGCCCAAATCCCCCTTACACACTTTCTGTGATAATAATATTACACACGCAACCTTTCTAAAGTGTATCTAGTACACACCAGCTTTTTGTTGACCAGCTTTTCAAAATATGTGTACTATCACGCACCAATAATATCGTGACACGTGTCAAAATAGAAAGA